GTCAGAACATGGCCTGGTTAAGTAGCGAAGTGACACCCGACGGCCGCGAGATGAACACCATACCTGCGGCTCCCTCCACTTCCCTTCTGCAACCAACAAGCACCCCCATCATAAAGCTCAAAAATCAAGAAAGAGAGAGACTATGGACATTTGAATAATCTCAAACAATTCTAGAACTTGGAGACAAAAAAGCAGAAGGCTCAGTTGCCTAGGAGTGAGTCTTGGTGCGACGATTGACCACGTTGCCGGTGTCAACCTACGACCTAAGACTGTACCTCGAGTATCGCGCACCCGGCGATGTGCTCACCAAAGGGAACCACTCGACCACTTGACCACTGGGCCCCCGCTGTGGTATTGATGCCGGTAAGGGGTCTTATATGGTCCATTCTTGAGCATGTCATCCGATATTTGGGAGGGCGTCATTGAAAGCAGACAACAGCGTCTCAGGCGTCACTATCAGATAGCTCGGACGACCTACAGTCGAGGGGATGGGACATCTCGATTACGATTATAGGTTATTAGGTAAGTTACAGCCAACTTCAGTCGTCTTATTCACTCCCCCGCGTCCAGCCAGAGCCTCCCCCAAAGCATGAGTCAAATCAAAGTGCAAACAACATGGCAGCCACCAAGACAAGACCAAACGCATGCATCCTATTGTGGGAAGCTGAGGAATGCGCATCCGGGCAACCAGTCTCCATGATCATGGGATAGAAAGTGGGAGTCGGCGGGATTTCAGTCGAAGTTGCAGTCGCAGCTCTGTCTTGAGCTTCATGAATAACTGGTACCTCAATGGTCTCGGGCTCTTCTAAGCTTGCAGAAGCCTCAGAGCTTCTGTCATCGAACAAGGGTGCCTGCGCGCCTTCAGACAGGTTCGAAGCGGCAGGTAGTGTCGCATAGGTAGTCTTCTCGGCAGATGAAGGCTTCTTGACGGAATCCAAAGGTGTAAGGAAGGTGGTCCATGCAACCGCGTCAAGCTGAGTGTTCTCCATCGTGTCGCCGAGACTGAATCTTTCGGGGTTCAGTGCTGCTATCTGCAGATCGAGCTCATCCTGCGGGCTGATGTTGCTGCTATCGAGGAGGAATGTGAAAACGTCGCCGTACTCTAAACTTTGAAGATTTGACGGACTCCACGCAAAGACTGGCTTGTTGTCTTCATTGTGCAGCTCATAGACCCGATAAAACCCTTGGGATGTCTCAAATTTTGTCGGAACAGCAGATGGCTTCAGGCCGGTTTGAAGCCACAGGAGGTTGGAGTCCACGCCGTCGACAATGGTGTCGTAGGGCTGGATGGTGATCACAGTGTAGGAGGATCCGGACAGAGGCTGAAATGTGCCCAGTCTTGGGGGTTGACTGGTGACTGTTGGGAGACGGGAAGTCAGTTATCATATCCTCAGCAGCAAGAGAACATGTTGCTTTCGACATGACTTACGGGTCACATTGATGTCATGAGGAACTACCTTGTCCCCAAAGTGCATGACGAGAGGGCCGAAAGGGTCTGGAATCGAAAACCACGAGGACTTGTGAAGTGGGCTGGCCATCGAGACCGCAGCAGTTGCCACAAGAGCAGTCAGGGTGCGTAGAAGAACCATGATGAAGACTGAACAAAAATATGTATGATAACAGTATAGAGAATGGTGAGAGTAATACAGATGTCAACGACGAACCAAAGTAGAATGGTGTTCTGGTTTGGAGAGAAGACGGAAGAGGAAAAGTAGAGCGTGAGAAAAAGGAGGACAGGCCCAGTTTATGTACCCCCTCGGTATCCTACCCAATGGCCTGACGACTCAGCAAAATAGTAAATAACCACTTTCCCTCGTTGCATTGAAGAGGTGCCCTTGGAGATGGCAATTGTGAGCAGGAGACACCAATGAATGGATACTTGTAGGGAAAGACACTCCGTGGGATGAACGTGCCTTACAAGAAGTGTGCTTGTTGACTTCCGCATCTACCGCCTCGTGATCCAGAGCATGTTGAAGGAGCGTTGGATGCTGCCGTGAGAAAGCGACATGATGAGATCGTTGCAGAACCATGACAATGATCCGGTCATCGGAAACAACGGCCGGTCGTCATTCATCTACTCAGTTGTGCTCTCCTCATGTAGCTGACGGTCGCTGAAGATATGAATCAAACCCGTGGAGCGAACTGGCCGCATTTTCGTGATTCTATCCACAGAGCTTCAATATGTGTGCAGTGTGATACACGTCTCATGATGCCGACACGCACTGCCTTTCCATGATTCCCTTAGTGTGGGAAAACAACCGAGTGGAAAGCATGTACGTCTGGTCCCTGCCTGCCTCGGGGACTTTCTACCAGGAGACCGTGACTTCCTCGCATGTGGGGAAGTATGAGAGGAAGTTACTGCCAAACTGCACGCTGGTGGCGATCTCTGACTTAGGTAGGTAGGTAGGTACCTACCTAGTTAGGTCGGTGCCTCTGGTGGGCGCTCTTTTCCGTCAAAGCTGCGGTCTGTTCGGTCCCGACGCGAACTTTCAACTGGAAAGCACAGGCAAGCCCTCATTCACAGCAGCGACACCTAAACAAAGAAATAGAAGATGGTAATATCGGTTGATGTGTAGGTACCTATGTACCTAGGCAAGCAGTAAGGGCCAAACATGGAGGATATCAACAAGACTTCTGTCAAGTTTGCGACGAAGATGTTATGTCAGAGCACATCCCGAGCAAGTGGAATGCTCTAGTGGGGTGCAGTCGACGTTTCTTTCCTCGGCGGTCATTGTACACTAATGGAAGGGTAACTTCGGAATGGCTCGCGCCTCAATCACAACGATCACCACCATGTACCTTCTTCATACCCACATGATCCAATGTCACCCTTGTCCAAATTTCCATTTCCATAGGAAGCGGAAACTTCATACTTGGACAAGTCCTTGCCCCAACCTCCGATCTGGTCACATTCACCTACCTCTACTGTGATCCCGCCTCGACACGCAAGCAAGTCCAGGTTCAATGGCAGGGAGCCACGGCCCAAGCACCCAGGAAAGTAAGCGCTAGCCAGCCATGTCCTTTCAATCATCATCGTGATGCCTTTGCCTTCTTCGGCCAAAAAGGCCCAAGAACTTCTTTTCTTTGATTTCAGCCTTATACGGTCTCAACGGGTAGAGGACAGGAACGTCGTATTCATCCGAGTTGGCCTCGGGTATGGTATGTTGAGCCAGCCATTTCCGGTCGGACATCTCTCCAAGTCTTGTGCTCCCAGAAGCAAAGGACATGAAGGACATCCGATTGCGCATCGCCGCCCCAAACTGGCTGTGTCGTGGATGTGATCGAATTTGCACTACGTGTTCTCCTGCTGGTGGAGGAGGAGGAGGAGGAGGAGGCGGCGGCGGCGGCGGTGGTGGTGCTACGGCTACGGTGCCTTGAGACTGCTGTTTCGGAATCGTCTTCTCTTTCCTCACTTTTATTACCTCCTCAGCTCGTGGGGACTTTCTCTTGTGTTGATGAGCGGCTGACACTGAGCTCGCAGTGGGATCGCCCACTTCGGACGCCGTAGTGCTTTCCTTGATTTTAGAATCAAGTCTTTCTTTGCTCGCTCGTGTCTGATCATGATTTTGTGGTGGTTTCTTCTTATGTCGACCGGAGGAAGAAATCGCGCTTGCGGCTGGGTTGCTGACTTCTGCTGGTATACTGTCCTTGGGACTTGACTTCTGTTTGCTCACTCGCGCTTCCTCCTCAGCTTGCGATGGTTTCCTCCTCTGTCGACTAGAGGTAGAGTCAGAGATTGAGCTTGCAGTCGGGTTGTCGGAGTGACTCTTTTTCGGTAGAGAGGAAGCCGACTTGGACAGAGGAGGATGTTGCCGTCGAGCTCGCGATGAAGGCGAAGAGGCGCGTGTAGGTTTCGATGACATGGACACCACCGACCTGCTTGTGCGAGAACCTCCTAAGCGACGGGCTAGGTTGTCAATGGTCTTGATGGCCTCGTTTTTTGACGAGTTCGAAAGGGACCTGAGTGCGTCGTAATTTAGAGCCGGGGTTTGCTTGTTGCTTGAGGCACGGAGCAAACTGGAAATTGCTGCTTTGAGTCTCTTCAGTATCCCATCTACCGCAGATACAGAACGGGCTTGAGGCAGCTGTCAGCACATGAACTTTGAATGCAACCGTGCTCCTTCCACCATATTGGAATCTTATATCCTACCATCACCCCTCTTCAAGCGGCTGCCCAACTCGGCTAACCTAATAGAATAGGCACGCTCCACCATTGCACGATCGGCTTTCAAGGATTTGCGCAGATGCTTGTTCTGCGCGTCCACCTTGACGTTCCCATCTTCTCCGTTGGCATCGTGCTTGTAGGCTTTGAGGAGGGTTGCGCAGTTGGAGTACGTCTCTAGTAAGGCCGTGATGCTATCGTCGAATACCATTTTCTCAGTTGAACGGTAACAATGAAACTTGGGTTCAAAACAAGTTATCGACAACTGTTGAATGACTCAATCCTAAGGTTAAGGCCCTGATCGGCTCAAACTGTTCATGGAACAGTATGGAGGGTAACAGGGGTTTTTGAAGCCTTTTTGCCGCCAAGATCGATTTTTTTTTATACTAGCCAGCTTGGGAAGTAGTAAAACTCCAAAAAACTACTCATACTGCAACTAGGGTGCTCAGAGAAGGTACCGACTAATATAGGCTGATCCACCTTCCTAAAATAGGTAAAGATCAACAGATTCGTAGCGTTTTTGACCGGTTTTTGAGTCGAAACTGTCGAAATTGTAAATAGAGGGGGGACCTAACTTCTAGTAGAAAAGTTTCGAGTTTTTATAAATTTTCGTAGTTTTCGTACCAAGGATGTATAACGTAAGTACGGCTGCCCTATTAATAAATATTATATCGGTTGAACCGTACTCGAACTTTATATTCCGATATAGTAAAACTCTAGTATATTATAACCGCTATATATTTCTATTTTTCGATATCGGTCGGTATAGATCTAAAAAATTGTAACTGAACTGTTTTTACTTTTATAGTAGCGACCACTATCTATATTATCCTTCGAAATAAACCGAGGAAAGATTTAGAAACTATATACTATAGCCCAAACTATATTAGAAAATTAGTTAATAAAATTTATTATGGTTCGTTAGTATAGTTTAAGTAGCTTTTTAGAATAGACTAACCTATTTTTAATACCTTATTAAAATAGTTTTAAGAGAATACTAGTTTGGCGCCTAATCGATACTAAATAATATACTAGAAATTAATAGTCTTTTTATATATTCTAGCTTACTATAAAAACTAAAGAACTACTTTATACAAATTTTAGATTAACTAAAACTCAGTATTAAAGATTATAAATAATCTATTACTAGCATATGAATATTTGTATTTAGTATATATTATACTACTAATAAATAATTTTTTAAACCCTAGTATCAAATTGAATCCTAGTTTTAATGCCTTTAATAATTATATTGGTACTATTAATAATACCTATATTACCGTATATATAAAGAAGGAGGATAAGATTCGTTGGTACGATTGTAAGAGATAGATAATTTAGAATATATTCGCTACTGTAAAGTTTAATTATTTATTTATATATATACTAGCAGGCATTGAAGAGTCGATAAATAATACCTTATTATATATTTAAGTTTTCTTACATTTATTTTGTATCTTTTGTAATTAATATTATATTATTGATATAGGGTTTAGTGTAAGGCAAAATATTATAATTCCTTTTTTAAATATTAAATACTATCTTTAAAATTAGAGAAATATAAATATACAACCAAAAGACCCTAAAGAACTATATAACTTATATTACTTTCGCATTCAAATTATTGTAGAGCACGTCTTTAATTATTTAAAAAGGCAATAGAAAATTGTAAGGGTAGCGCTATTTGAATATAATTTTAATAATTAGCGACGGGTCGTATACGCAGTAATAGTATTACATAATTTTATATTGAAATATACAAAGTAACCCTACTAATTAACTATAAGGGAGAAATAATTAATAAGGCTAATAAAATTGAAGGCGTAAAATATTGTAAAGAACTAATACTTTAATTATATTAGATAACGCGCATCGATATTAATATAGAGAAACTAGTAATTGTATTTAAAAAAGAAGAGGGATGCAAAGTAATTTATTATATATAGAATAGAGTAGAGTAGAATAGAATAGAGTAGTATAGGGTAGGGAGGGGAGGTTTTAGATTATTAGGTTTATATATAATTATTTACTATACTTTTTGAAAAGATTAGATTATTTTATAAAATTAACGATTTTAAATTAAAGTTTAGTAAATTTAGTAAATTTATATAGTATAGTAAATCTAATGAATTTAGTAGTATAGGGAGTTTAGTATAATAAATCTATATATTTATCATAATTTAGTAAATTATTATACTACTAGCCACCTCCCCCCTCCCTACCTCCCTCAATCTATATACTCTACTCTACTCTACTCTACTCTATTCTACTTAATTAGATCCTTCTAACAGTTAATATACCCCTTCTTTTTTCTTTTACTTAATTTCAATTATATATTAGTAAAGAGAAGGTACTTTACAATATAATTAATATAATTTATTATCTCCTCCTCCTCTAATTTAAAGAATTCGCGCTATAGATTCTCGACTACAAAAACTATATCATTAAATCTAACTAACTTAAGAACTTATAATAAGGCGGCTACCTTCTCTATCAACGTACTAAGTAATTTAATTTTACTACCCCTCTTCTTATAAATAATATTACTAAATCCTATATTAATAAAAAGAGTTTTACTATTTAGTAATAGGGTTTAATTGGGATTAATATTTCTCTTATATTATTATACTTTAATAAATTTCTTACTCTGCAGCGGAGTAAATTCTTTAACCTTATTATCATTACCTTCCCCCCTATTATTATCGTTAAATAAATATATTTCGCCGCCGCTATTACTTTTATTACTTCTAAAATTAATATTATTATTAAATAGCTTATTTACTTATAATTTACCTGCTTCCACAATACCTCTACCTAACGCCTTTATTCTAACGAATTTTCAAAAATAAATATTTATATTACTAAGTAATTACTTTATCAATTAATTGACCGAATAATTCTTAGTATTCTTCTACTTCCGAAAAGCCTCCCAATTTTATATAAATATTTCGGATAGTCTAATATTTAAATTAATCGAAGTATTAAATATTAAGAGAGCTTTTTACTAGTAATAATACTACTATTATTTAATTATAAATTTAGTTTCAATATATTTTTAAATCTATTTATATTAAAACTATTACTTTACGGTTAATAGTTTTACCTACCCCTAAATTTAAGTAAAGTCTTTTAACTATATTAAATTAAAGAATTTATTATTTTTACAATCAAAGGACTGTTATATTACTAATTTACTTTTAGTATTAATTTATTTAATCCTCTTTCTTAATTTAACTAGCTTAAAGGTTCTCGCTTTTTTAGGCTTAGAGGCGCGCTTTCTTTTTAAAGAGGGAGGGGGCATATCTCTAATTAACTCCCTATTTTAAAAGATGTCTCGAAGTAATTGGATATTATTTAGAGAGACTATTATAATATCAGTACGAATTTCAATTAATTAACTATTATCTAATAAATATAATTAGGAAGGTTAGGTATCCTTAATTTAACTATAGTCTACTGGGTAAATAAATTAATTATTATTAAAGTTGAGAGTAAGGAAGTTTAGTAGCTAATTATTATTACTAGGCGGTTTAAAAATATTATCGAGCGGCTATAAGAGCGTATTACAAAGACTACTCCATTATTTATCGTTTTTATTATTTAGTAAGTACAATAACAGTAAACTACTCGAACCGCTCAGAGGGGTTATATATTCGTCTTAGGGGTTCATCTTTTCGATATCGGACGTGTTTTGGTTGGTGTTTTATGTGTAAGTTAGAATCGTACCGGAAACTGGACTGGTGCGGGGTCTAACTTTGTTTTTTAGGCAATATTTATAAGGCGGTGAGTAGGTTTTGGCCAACTATACTATAAATGGTTAAGTTTGGCTATCGTTACACTAATGTAGCGCTAAATCGGTACGGTTGTATTAATCTACCTATATTACTTGGTACGAGAGGGAGAGGATGTAACTAAATCCTCTATACTGTTCCATGAACAGCTTGAGCCGATCAGGGCCTAAGTATTCAACATTAAAGGGTTCAACGTCGGGCATTCAGAAGTCAACCCAAGCGGAACCGTGAATAGAGACTCTTGGCTTTGAGGCACGCTTAAGACCCCAGGCTGCGGGGAGCACTAAGTGCTGTCTAGGTATGGCTTTTCTTGAGCTCCCATTCGCAGCCGCGCTTAGAAACAGAATATCGTAAAGGTGAACAGCCAATCGAATTCTGTAAGCCAGCACAGTGTCACCGTTGGTTACCTCTAGGCGCCTAGACTACTGCGTAGTAGAGTAGGCATGTTGAATATGCGATTGGAAGCCAACGGGAATGGCACACAGCTGGAGTCACACATGGGTGTCGTTATGTCGATAGTTCAATTATCACGGGTTGTCTGGGTCGGATCCTGAAGTACCCTAGTAGTTCACTGCCGTATCGCGAGGCATGTCAACAGACAGATTGATTCAAACTGAAGTCAATTCCGACGTTTGGTTCTTTGACCTCGTTCGGACGACTCATGGATCCCCTGAGGACAGCTGGCAAGTCAGCCCTGCCAGGTGTGGAGATAGGCGGCCATCTGCAAACCCGCCCGCCCGGCAGGCTGTGGACACCTGCCTTGGAATGCCTGGGCTCAGTTCGCTAGGACGGAACGTTCCAACAACATCCAAGCATTTGCCCCAGAGGCGTCAATGCCCTCCCTGTACATAAAACAAACGCCAAACAGTGCCGTCGAGCGAAACCGGCTGTGGCGTGGGGACTCGCTTCTTACAAAACAGAAAGCACTTTCAACTTCTCTTGTCCAACCTCGCATGTTGGCTTGTTTTCTTTTGCACCTAACGCCAAAATGCGACCATCTCCGGAGAGTCTATCCGTTCTACCTTTGGTGATCGGTGTTGTGCTTTCCCCATCAACCGTTGATGCGGCCGCTTTTCGGTACGCTGGACAACCCGCTGGACTCATCGACACTGCGAACAGCGACGACCTTTGTCGAGGCGCGCGCAGGAGTGCTTTGCCGGGGTTGACATGGCTACGCGAAAGCATTTCTGAAATCATATTCGGGCGCCCATCAACTAAACACAGCGATTCCACCTCACCCAGCTTACCGCTGTCCCAATATCGAGATGACGTTGTGGTACGCTTCAATGTTACAAAGCCAACAGATCAGGTGGTTCTGGCCCAGGCCATCAAAGCAAAGCATCTGGACGTCTGGGCCTCCACACCACAGTTCGTGGATATTCGACTAGAGGAGAGTCAGCTACGCCCATTACTTAGACTT